ACGAAACAAAACGCGACCAAAAACGAAGCAAAAACTGTAAATTATCGTTAAAAATTCACGTTAAAAGTCAGTTTGTTTGGAAACCAACGAACACGGGGGAGCAGGAAGAAACTCTTTAACTTTTTTATGTATTTTCTTAAATTTCTTTGAGAGCATCTCCAAAGAACTTTTGTATGTCGAATCCATTAATCTAAGAGTTTGTAAACTCATACTTTCATAGCTATGATATAAAAAGACATGTTTTTAATGAAATCTACATGATACACATCAAAACGAACTACCTTAAATATCTTTTAAATTTGGAGACAATCAATCTCGATTTAGATAAGGAGGAGGATTTCTATGTCATGTAACATAATTCTAGCGGTCAGACCTGCTCACTCAACTACTGCCACTAAAATTTCAAATAACACCATTCCTTACGACACGTTGTTTTAAAAATAATAAAAAAACTGAAATTACGTTAGAAAATGTATAAGTACATGGTCTGAAGCAATTAGAACAAAAAGTGTGTCACATTAAGACATAAATACTATTCGGTTTTCCGTAAATCCAGGAAAAACTGAAAAATAAACAAAACTGTATGAAGTAAAATTTTACAACTGTCGTGTTCTGTTCTGTTCAGAAACTCTGTTCCCTCAAAGCGGAAAATTGCAGTATAGGGTTTAAAAACATTAACCTTCTATATTTCATAGAATAGTTGAGAAAACATAGTGTGATAGACTTTTCAAGATAGCTGAAGCTTAAAGCAAATATGAGAAAATACACAATGTGTTTTATGTGAAAAAGTTCGTTAAAAATGTTTACATACATAGAAAATTAAAACAATTACCGGAAAAAAATAGAAAGCTTTTACAAAAGTGCAGAGTTCTATAATGAACTCTGTATATCTGAAAACGTTAGAGACTTTAACATACATATTTCGCATAAAAATTGAGGCTCAGACACCGAGATCATGTTTCGTTTCTCTGCTATAGAAAGTGGTATATTCTCACTCTATTCAACTTCAAGATAATTATTCAACGATATTTTAATAATTATCAAAGTAGCAATTTTGCTGGGCAATAGTCCAAGGAATAAGCTCTTGAATATGAAGCGCATATTTAGTAACAAGCCTGTCTAATCACTTGAAGCACCTTCTGATCAGCCATTCGTTGAAGATTTGTCACTGTGTTATTAATATCCAAACAGTAATTAAAAAAATATACATTTTGTTAAAATATATCTTAAAACCAGGCAGTGACTGATTACTCGCTGTATGGAGTTCATTTATAGTTAAGTTAACTGGAGTTAATATCGGGGAATAAATGGCTCAATAACAACAATATCGATAAAAAAAAATAATGACTACATATTCACATACCTTGACAGCCACTGGTTGAAAAACCCCAGTGCAGGTTCTGGCAAGCATCACAATGAAATCCATCTACGCCTGGCAAGCAGTCGCAAATTCCGGTGTGGTGATCACATATACCAGATCTCGAACCGATTGAGTTGCAGGAGCACGGTGGGCATAAAGCGGTAAC